CATAACTTTTTAATTTTGTCTCTTTCACACTGATTTTGTATATAATTATTGTTAATAAACTTGTAAATAATTTCAGTCGTTTAGTAGTGGGTAGGAATAAAAATTGACACTATATGTATTTGTAATAAGTATTAATATTTTCCCTGTGTGAATAAATCTAGTAAAACTTAATAGGTTTATTTCTTTCACCGTCGAGGTAAAACGATAACATTCCGAACCAGCAAAAACGCTGATATCGTTTTGTAGAGCTCCCGTTAAATTTCATATTTAAAATAAAACTACACTGAGAAAACTACTCTCTGCCGAACTCTCTGCCGTTTTCTCCTAAAAGAAATTCATTGACCCCTGGAATTAATTTTCTTCACTGTAGCTACCTGTGCACTTTACTCTAAACCGAGGGTAAGGGATACGTGGAGTTTCCCCCACGTCAAATTTAGGGAAACTGGCGCCCGAGAATAAAACCGAATATTTAAATTATTAACTAACGTCATCGTTTAGAGTCCAGTCCCAGGAATATAAAACCTTTCCGAAAAATTAAATTACAGGGGGTGTACACACCATAGTTAAAAGTAATAAAAATTTACACCGAACGATCCATAAAGAGAGAACCGAGGAAAAGTGCGTCACAAAATTTGGCTCCCGAGCAGGGACCGTAATTTTCTTTTAGACCGTTGTGTAATTTTGTTTAATAAACTAGTATTTTACTTTGTTTAAATAAATTAGGAATCACCGTCCACCGCTAGTATCAAAAACTGATTTGGGAACCGTTATTTTCCGTTGCTTTAATATCCTGCAAATTAAAGAGTCTGTATTTGTTTTTACATATACAGAGTGTTATTTTTCCGCAGTCCAGAATCCAGGAAAATGATGTTTTCTTTTTCAAAGTAAACCGAATTAAAAGCAGAGTAGTTTTCTCATTTATTAATATCAGGAAAGTATTAATTCCGAACCGATAAGATCTAGAGTAAAAAAACCGAAAAGTGTCAATTCTATCCAATTCTGTTTAAACCTGTTCCGAAAGTACTAGGCTATCAATAGTAACTTGACTGTATAAAATTAGAGACAAAAACCCGCTTTTGACTACCGCCGATTAAATCCGACTTTTCCTGAACCCAGTGGAAAGCCCATTTTTCCACAAATATCCGAGATAGAAGCCGAATATTCCGGAAGAAGACATAAAAAGGGATTTACCACCGCTAACCGGAAATTGCCGATTTTTGCCGAGTTCACCCGAAGCTTTCCTGGATACCGTAGGGGCATCTAGGGTGTCATCTTCATAGTTTTCGAGGGTAAAGAATCGATTGCCACCAGTTCCGAACCGATCCGATTAGCCGTTCCCGAAATATAACCGATAAATCACTAGAAAACGGGATTTATAGAAAACCTAAACACTATTTCATACCCAGAGTCCAAATAGAGCACGTACACCGGTTTTGACATTTTACCCGGATTTTCACCCGGAGTTTCCCGGAGTCAGGATTTGGGGGGAACATAGCAAGTGACCCCTCATTTTTAAGTAAACCAGAGGTACTCAACCGATTTCTGATAGTTTTATTGCAATCCGAGCTACCGTTTCCGAGATAGGTTATCCCTATCTACCGATACCAACTTTATTTTATTGAGACGTCTGGCTGAATTGTAGCTATTAGAATGCCATCCGATCCCGGCCGTAATAACCTGTCACCCCCAGGAAGACCTGAAAGATCCGCCGACTCCAGTAACGACGAACCGCAGACAGCAAAAGTGAGCTGGATTTATACGCTCAAAAAAGACGAGCTAGTTAGAGAGCTGAAAAAATTCTCTTTAACGACGAAGGGGACGCTACCGAC